CAGATCATTATTATTAAGTGAAAGATTATCCTGTATATGTGAATTAAGAAATAACTAATATTTATTATTCTTGGACAATGATCTGAATTGCGTTGTTGATTGCATTCTCATTTAACTGTAATGTCGTGTAGGTTTTGGTAAATATACAGGTATGGCACAATAAACAAGAAAAAATATATAAATGACATTGTGAGTTTCTCATAAACTTCTATTAAAGTCGTATAAAATAAGACATCGAATAAGGGAATTGACTCCATGCTCCCTAAAGTAATATCATAACCAACCGGTGGTGGCGCGGTGTTCCAAATCACTGCTCGATACAATGTGACTGTTGTCCCCATTTTCATACATGATTTTGATGACATGTAAGAAGAATGTGTACCTCAAATCAAAAGATCCCCTCAGCAGTGATGGCGCCAGAATCAGCCCGACTGGGGGGGGGGATAAAGGCCCTACGCTGTCTCTTATACACATCTAGATGGGTATAAGAGACAGCACTATTACTGTATAAAAGGGATATTTGACGAATTTTGGTGAATTTTTATTAGTTATTTTACATCAAGCTACCGTAATATGACATCATATGTTTTTAATGTCGAAATTAACTTCCAAAATCGAAAATTTTGGATAAAACAACGGGAAACAAAGAGTACGGTATGCAATGTAACCAACTAACTTATTTTCAAATCCGTTTTACATTTTATATTATTTTTTTTAAAACACCGTACCGGTACATTACAATACTATCCTCCCATCCTGGCGAAATCCAGGTTTTTCATAATCCATGCGATTGTGAATTATTAACAACAAATACAGTTAGAATAATGTCTTATTGTAAATTGTAAGGCCACCAATTAAGAAAAATTAAGAAAAAACAATGTCACCGGGAACGTCACAGTACAACTTTTAATTCAAACTGAAGCTATAAATTTTGGAAATTTTGCCTGAAATCTGTAAACCACGAGGTTGCTTCCCTGATCAAGATGTATTCCAAGCATCATGAGGATATTAAACGAGCATTTGTCATAGTAGAACGTAAACCATTTTAATTAGTTCCATTTAACGGGGGAGGATTCAGAATTTTTTAAACGGGGAGAGGGGCATTTGTATTATTTTTTTAAATTTTATTTCAATACATAACATTAATATGCACTAACATTTTAAAAAATATTGTCAAAACGCTGTTTTGACACTTGACACTGTTCTACTGACTTACGTTCCAATAGTTGTTTGAACGAAATTAATTCATTGTGAAGAAGAATATCTGTTGTTTTATGGGCTTAACTCAATGTGAAAAGTAATATACAGTATATGGTAGTCGGATAACTTACAATAAGACGGCACGTGAATTTATGTTATTATATCATTATTATTATTATTATTATTATTATTATTATTATTATTATTATTATTATTATTACCGTATTATTTATTTTTAAATTTTATATTTTCATCCTGCAATTGGTGTATACACTGTTGGATGTGCAATAAATAAATAAAATAAATATTGTTTTTGTTACGGTATTATTTTGATGAAAAGTTAACACAAACTGTACACAAATAGGTCAATGAAGGCTATATGGTTGCTAAACGAACAGGCATGTAAAAACATTTTTTTCTAATTTTTTGTTATTCCCCGACGGAATTTACTCGTCTTCCCCGACGTGGCCCGGGGGCTAGGCTCCACCAGACGAGGGGGATATAGACCCCAGCCCCCTCTGGCGCCACCACTGCCCCTCAGTCACGTCTACCCTGACCAAAGCCGTCGTAAATGTTCATTTTTCTTGTCAAAACCCATCGTATTTAGTCTGATGTAAATAAAGACCGAAACAAATTTGTTCTTAAGAAACTATAAATTATTTGTAGTGTAAACAACGTTATAGAAGTATTTTTCCTGCTAATCAATGTATTTTAAACGAGTGAAAATAAATTCAGTAAATCGATAAGTGGTTTAAAGTAGGGTATTGTGGTTGTTATTGTAATCGTACCAAACAGTCAATAATTTTGTGACGTCATAGCTAGTGAATAATTCGGTGTATTATGACGAAGAGACAACATTTTGAATTAACTGGACAAAATTTGGGATCGAAAGTATATGAACGAACAATGCGTCAATGACATAAAGGTATTTCATACGTCACCACTAAGGGTATTAAAAAAAAATAGGTAAGAATACATAAAGAGCGTAATACTGACAGAGAGTTCAGTGTCGTTTAGCAGATTTTCTGAAGTTAGGTCACAACAGATGATCATGTGTTTAAACATAGCTGATTCTAAACCTATCTGCTGAATTGGTTCAAACCCAACATAGGGTGTGTAGTTGGCCCGACTGAGAACCATATACTGATGTATTCTCGCAATACAATACCGATGCTGGCCCAACACAAGATTTGACTTCAAATATTTTTGGGAATTTGCCTTCTTCCGTTTCCGAATCTTTTTTATTTAGTATATGAAAACCACTTGATTAACGTTTTATTATAATTTTCCATAAATAATATTAGGCCTATTAAGACTTTGAGAAAGTAAATAAATGGTTTTTTTTTAAATTTAATTTAATTTAATTGATGCAAGCGGCGGCCCAACACGACCATTTGTGTCCAATAATGCTTTCTTTTAAAGCTCACTGCTTTCGTATTATCATATTTAAGTAAAGCGTGTGGTTTTTTTCTTTGATTATCTCGATTTAGTTAGTTTTAATGATTGAAATGTATACATCCACTTGGCTCCTATTAAAATGAGCTAGTTATTAAAAATGTAAGAAAAAAGTATAAATGTATATGTTCCTTTTCTATTACCAATGAATGCTGGATTAGGCATTAGGATTTGTCCTGCTTTTTAACACTTCTATAAACTTGTTTTTATTCGTAAATTAATGTAAAAATCTAACTATACTATATATTTTGCTAATACGATTTTACCTGCTACATGTATTTACTTTTTATCGCCGTTTGTGAAATGGACATCAATGGAAATAAACTGGAATGATTTTTGTTGGGTTAGGGTTAGGGTTCCATGGTAGCGGGGGCTTTTTGTTTTGTTTTTTTTTTGTTTTTGTTTTTGTTTTTGTTTTTGTTTTTGTTTTTGTTTTTTTTTGGGGGGGGGGAGTTGTATTATGCCTCTTTTATATAATTTTTTTTGTTCTTGTAGTACTTCCGAATAAATTCAAATCAAATAAAACTGGCAGCGCACACTCTATCAGCACGGGACCCTCAGGCCTATTTTGTATACAATAAAAACGTTTAACCTAAACATTACATTAATTCCGCTAAACTTGGTAAATGTTAGTGTTACAATCAATACTGCTGTGAGTGAGATGTTTTGGGTCTACGTCTAGAATACTGTAGAAAAGGAATGCTTATTCAACACAATATGCAAGTTTACGCCAGGGGCTGCTAGAAGACACGTTGCTCTAAACGTGTGGAGAAATTATTTTTATTGTCAAAAGTTGGATTTATTCAATGTGAGCACCAAGTATAACATGCGAAGGTCAGAAAGACTTACTTCCAGTGGGATCCTTCTGATGGTAATTGGGCACCACACCGGGAGACTTACTTCCAGCGGGATCCTTCTGATGGTAATTGGGCACCACACCGGGAGACTTACTTCCATTCAGGTATTAGATAATTTATGTAGAATACAATACATAATACTTGCTCCGAACTGCGGGTCACTCACTGACTCACCTATTATTCATTCAGTTTCGAAGTTGAAAGCTAGGAATTACAGCTATGAATTATAGGCCACAAAATATCGCTTGCGTAGAAATAACTAGTAATTGATAATGCATTTCTCCCAGCTTTACAGTGGATTTCTCCGTGAGAAGACGTCGTAATCCAAAAACGAAACGATTTTTGTGCGTGCGCGCCTAAATCATGAGGCAACCCGTAGCACCCAGCCACTGACATGAAGGAGACCACTGGAGGTTTAACGTTCCCTACGTTCATCTGATCTCAATTTAATTATTGTCCTTCGCACCAACACTAAGACCTTCGGACACAGATCATTTTCATTTGCTGCAGCCACACTCTGGAACACACTACCACTTCACATTAAAAAATCAACATCAATCGCTTTATTTAAAAAATCACTCAAAACGCACTTATTCCAACAATAACATGAAGCGCCACTGATAATTACTTCGGTTTTTTAAATGGCGCTATATAAGTTCTTACCTTATTATTATTATTATTAACAGACTGATATAACAGGACGCAAAGTGGATGCGAAATTTGTTGATAGATTGACTCGATGTATAGCTACTTTAAGTTCACTTCCACAAAAATGGAATTTTGCAGTTCATACACTGATAACATCCACGTTCGGAACTTGATGTTAAGTATACAATTCAATTAAACTGCATTCTGATTAATAGGCGTTTCAGACCGTGATTCTCAGCATCATTATCATCATCATCATCGCCATCATTATTATCAATATTATCATCATCGCCATCATTATCATCAATATCATCATCATCGCCATCATTATCATCAATATCGTCATCGCCATCATTGTCATCTTTATTATCATTAGAGGAGCAATATTGACATCACCATCATTAATAGGTTTGATCTGTTCTCATCGATTGGTGTTCTGTAGGCTCTTTTTTATAGACTTTATAATATTCCTGATGATAATCTAAATAAAGGTCATATTCACATCATGTCTATTTTGTTTGGAGTTTGTTTCATGCTACGTCGCAAACTTATTAATGGATATAGGCCTATACTATTTTGAAACAACTTCAGAGAAAATCATAATGCAATGCATTCAACTAATGAGCGACTCTAAGTGACAGAAATTCATATTTGGTAATCCTACATGAAATTATATAAACTAAACAAATCACTGCAAATATTACAGTAGACAAAGTGGATGATCGTGAAAATTTGTACTTGTCGACTTATATACTCCGATGCATCGTCAAAGTGGTTCAAGTAAGCCCCGGCCGATGAAAACATGCAAACGTTTTAGACGACTGTTTCTTTTTTACTCACCTGCCGGTGTATGTTTTGATCTTGAATCTTAGCGATGCTTTAATTTGTGTACATTTTTTAACTTCAGTGGTACTCATTCATCCTCTTGTTCTATAACATAAACAGAATGGACACCGCTTTATTCTGCCTGCTTCAATTACAAACAATCAGACGCGCGCATATCAAAATGCAAGAAGATGGATAAGTTCACCTTGCAAACTAAGCGAATTAAAGGCAAAGGGAAATGTCAATTGCTCGCAGCAATTACCTTCCAATCACCTAGTCTCGATGCAGCTACCTGACGATTTTAATAATTACTTCCTCAACTCTTTAGATTGTACGTTCAAATGTGTTACAAAGCACATGAACCAGTTGAGTTAAGTTGGTCAGCAATTCCGGTATGCGAATGGTCCCAGGCCCTTAAATCGATTTCACTATTTGAATGTAGAGCACTCGCTTATTTTTTGGCTACATTATTAAATCATGGAAAAATATGAGGGCGTCCTGTATCTAGTCATTGGCATCTAGTAGAGGATGTGGGATAATTTTGCCAGTGGAACATTTTGAAGTCAATTGATGTATAACAATTTCGTGAGAGTATACGTTACGTGCACAATTAGACGCTGAATCACGGAAAGATAAAGGATAGTGATGTATGAAGATTAACTAGGGCTTGGAGTAAGACATGACTTTAAACTTGTGAGTGTGCCAATTAATCATGTGGCGTAGAAAAAATTGCCATGCTCTTGTTGATGTTTGGTGGAAGTTAACATACCTGGTAGGACTAAATACGTTAGCACAAAATAGCCCCAATCTAGCGTCTACTTCTGATTACCGTAACGACGAAGCAAATTGAGGGAAAAAACAGATACTACACATGTAGGGCCTAGGTTCAAGTGTTATGTCAACTCATTTATTTGTATTATTCAATATTCTTTGAATTGCGTACAACACACAAGCATGTTCAATTAAAGTGTATCACAAGATGAAAAATAAAAAAATAACAACAAATACAACAACAATAATAATAATAATAATAAATTTAATAATAAATAAATTTAACCAAAAGTTTAGAGAGACTCGCCTCTTGTCTGAACTGGCGCCATATTAATTTTCAGAGAGCGTCTCGTAGCTAACCGAAAGGCATGACCTCTGACCTAAACCATATTACTCCGCCTGTACAGATAGGCGTGAGGCGCCTGTGCTAATATAATACTAATTAAATCTTATTTATTTAATGACTTATAATAATAATAATAATAAAAATAATAATAATAATAGGCCTAATATAAAACCAAAGACGCACAAATAAATATTTGTGTCTCAACTAAGCAACTACGTCAAAGTACCGGTATATTGCAGCACTTGTGTCTGTCAACTATTATTTGTTATATAGGCCTACTAATAAATATAAGCGTGTGAGAGTGTTACAAATACTCAGACATTTTGTGGAACTTCGCATGAAAGATGTTTACCAAAAAACTCTCTTAATTGCTCATCTTCAACATGTAGTCATGTAACCTTGGGAAAACGGGCGACAAAATCAGATTACGGCTCAACAACCATAGTAGCGCCTTTGGTAGCATTAGAATAAAATACCATTTATCACAATTCGCCTGGACACACTATATTCAAATTCTTAATAACTGAACACAATAACGCTGGACTTTAAAACTGGTGTTAATCAGTTTATCAATCGAACACTGTCATAACGACCATATGGTCCATAAATTGTTACATGTTGCTGTAACCGTTTGGCGATCCTTGTCGTAATATATATGCCTATATATTTTTCAATTTGTTTAATAACGTTTTATGTTCTAAGATTCAACGACTAACATCAATTTATTCTATGTTGCAAACCAATTTGATTAGGCTATGTGGAACATACGTGGCACTATATATATACATATATATATATAGGCCTACACACATATATGTATACATATATATACATATATATATATACGTACATATATATACATACATATGTATATGTATGTATGTGTATATATATATATATATATATATATATATATATATTAGTTGATAGGCTATACCTGATGCCTTTATAACGTCATTTTTATCTAAAATGTAGCACTATTTTTATATTTATATATGTTCAGTGCTCCGCAGCATACCCTAAATTATACATATATATAAATTATATATATATACAATATATATATATATACACAACTTTAGGGCCAATTAATAAACGTATCAGGCATAGCCTATCAACGAAAAAGTTCCTTTACTTTCACTTCAGCTGCGATTACCCAGAGTTCTCTCTGGTCTTACCACAGCCCTACGTTGTAGACATTTGTCAGTTGATAGGCTATACCTGATGCCTTTATAACATCATTTTTATCTAAAATGTAGCACTATTTGTTTATATTTATATATGTTCAGTGCTACGCAGCATACCTTAAATTATACATATATATTAAAATTATATATATGTATGTATGTATGTATATATATAAATTATATATATGTATATATAAATATATATATATATATAAATTATATATATATATATAAATTATATATATGTATATATATAATATATATATAAATAAATCATTAAAGAAAGGTTAATACAGTGTTCGAATAAAGGATAACAATACATATAATATATATATTGTATTCCAGAGTAACATCATCAATTTTATCTGAATAGTGGAACATCGTGTCACGAAACTACGGTATTTAATAATAAAATGTCTAATCAAAATTATTGTTGAATCCCATATTTCATATATATACCTACCATCGGGCCCGTGTAATCAATTGGTATGACGCTTGCCTTGACATCGAGAGTTTCTAGGTTCAGTCCACGCCGGAAGGACATTTTCAAACAATTTATAAGGAGTTTTGTCGATAGACTCTATTGCCCGGAACGATCTATATAATTAGTATGTCAGTCTTTTAAACATTTTGATTTCCACATAGAATATAAATGACTGTAACACAATGTGTAATATTAATGTACCTAAACATTCGTGTGACATTATCAAATTATGTTAGACGCGCCCAGTGTCCATCCATTATACGGTTTAAATCATATCAACCACGTAAGATACTTAGGGCTATTACTTTAACTACGATACAAGAACATTAAAAACATATATCGCCTGAATATGTCTTCATAAACATTCACATTCATAAATAACAATACTTTGGTGCAATGCAGCCAAGGCAAGGAAAAAAAAATGTAACACGTGTTGCCAAAACTTGTCTCAGCCATAACATAGAACGCATTATGTGTGAGCTCATTTACACCTACGATTTAAATAGCTTGATTCGGTTTATGTAACTTTTATGCGCCATATGTAAATTCGTATATCAAAATGAGACATCCACGAAAAAAGAGTATGATTAGTTTACTAACAACTGTTAAACTTGCTAAAATGTGCGCCTCCTTACCAGATGCCACATTTACTGTAAACACACTGACATAACGATAACATGCTCAAATGTAAACACCCAGACCAGCCTAAATATTTAACTAACTGCTTGTGATCATACTCAGGACTCGATGCCGGAGTTTCTGGAATTTCTACCACCAGCCCTCAGCGTAACCCATAGTGATTTTGGCCTCTTGGTCAGAAAATTCGACCCTCCCCTTCATCTCGTTTAGAAAATTCATTATCAACGCTCGCACGTCTAGCGAATTCACGGGGATGGCGAGAAGGAAGTTGGTGTGACACTAGAACCGTATAAATAGAAATATATTTTTAGGTCATGTGCGTCCCGATATATGGATTTCTTCTAAAATTCATTTATTTGTGAATTAATTTCCTGAGATGGACAGCTGCTGACAGAGTAGAGAATTTGAGAGAAGCATGGTTTAAACAAGCACAAGTTTAGCTCAACTTTCTACCTGTATACTCTAGGCTGTAGTTTAAAAATATATCGCATTCAGCAATGATTCGTTTAAATTACAGTCAATATTCGCAAAGATCAGAATGCATGATCCATATCGCAAAACCTGAAATCACAGCTTTAACCTTTGTTGGTATTTGGTATATTAAAATATTTATTAGGGTTATTATAGTCTATCAATATAATTATATTTATATCTGAATCTATGTAATATTGTTATATATGTACAATAGAACTGAATAAAACCAGTTTGCACCAATATTGACTACTGAGATGGAAGCAAAAAATAATAATAATAATAATAATAAATTATTATTATTATTATTTATTTATTTTATACAAAAAACAAAGTGGTATGAAACACAAAACGTGAAGACAACTTCATTACAAGATACCGTACATCAAATTACAAGAACAAGGTATACAGAGCGTTTTCCATTGACATTCTCGTATCACTACATTATTATGAACCTCTTCAACCATAGGGGAGTATCTACAGTCATCATTTATTGTCCATAAAAGAAGATTTCTGGAAAGAACATTTTCATTTCAATAAATACAAACATATATAGCGATATGTTAAACATCCAAACTTTGTGCCGTCACAAAGTTACATGAAACATCTTTCATAAAACAAAAGAAAAGAACAATCAGAATTAGGAACACTCATTAGACTGGTCACCCATTAGACCAGGGGTACAGCTCTTTTCTGATGGGTTCACAATGTAAACTTATAAAAAAAATAGTATGTTACAGGCCTAATCACGAGGACAGAAAATCTAAGAGACACGTACACCAACGAACAGTGAGAGTACGGATCCAATGCTCATTACGACTGGGAATCCGAATCGCACCGCTCCGTCAGCAGGGTCATGGCATAACAATGATGATGACGATGATGATGATGACGATGTTGATGATTATGGTGATGAAGATGATGATGATGATGACGATGACGGTGACAATGCTGATGAGGAAGACGTTGATTATTGTGGCGAATGTGAGGATTTTGATACTATGATACTAATGATAGTGCTGACTTCAATTACCCATTCTAGTAATTATAACAAATGTTGGTGCACTGTCACTGCAAAACAAAATGAAGTATTACAAATACGATGACGTCAAGCCCGAGAATGACACTTCAAACGTAATTACGAGTTCGTGTCCAGTGGCGTGGCTATTCAATTTCGCTCCATTACCCTATGTAGCAGCTGCTATGTCTCCGGCCAATTTACCGTCTGAAAGATGAGTAATTGATACTTCATGGTCACTCCAGTAGGCCTAAGGGGCTACCAATATATTGAATTCTATCACATTCAGGTGTTCATTAGCGTATGTTATATATACAGAAACATAAACATATATATATATATATATATATATATATATATATACTGTTAAATAAAATATAAATCATCAAAGAAGAATACATAAAAAGAATCATCAAAGAAGAATATAGGCCTATAAGAAGAAAATATTATTTAACAGTGTTATCTTTATTTATATTATATGCAATTATTTGTTTCCAGCCGTACGTATCTATTGTCTATCTGGCGGTAATTTGAATCTGTTCTGTTGATGCCTCTGTGGTCTAATGGTTATGACGCTCGCCTTGACAGCGAAAGGTCGCAGGTTCCAATACGTCAGAGGAATGTTATTACACAATTTATTTATTGTAACACTGTAATACTTTATTCGAACACTCTATATATATTTATTCACCTATGAAGAAGGTGCATCTACGCGTGTTTCGAAACATACTAAAATTTATTCCGATAAAATATTTTGTCACATTTTTACATAGAAATTAACATTCAGATAGTTGAGTGATAATATACAAGTTTTAAATCAATAATTAATTCTAAAGCAAATTGCATATTATCACTCAACTATCTCAAAATGTACATTTTGTAAAGTCGTACTCGGGTCCTGTGCTTGTTGTGTGCAGACATCTTAAAAACTGAACCATTTGGGGCTTTGTGTAGTGTTTGGACATTGTTATTTCACTCTCTTGTAGACTTGTTTGGAGCGCACTTGCTCGTGACATTATCATTGCAAAGAACACTTAAGACAGATATCAATATGATACAACCTCATTTTAAAACAAGATAGAGTACAAATTTAGAAGAGATACTATTAAATAGATGTTAAACGGTAAGTGAAGAGGAATAATATTGAAGTAAAACATAGTAAACGCCGGCCACTTCTCCGTCATTTAGATTTTAGATTTCAGTTGATATTTCCTACATCTATAAACATAGCTTTTTGGTCGATTCATCCATTTGAAGACATACACCAGTGGTGAACGACATGTTTGTCACTAGCAAAAAGTGAAACACGTGGATTGGCAATTTAGTGTGATATCTTTTGTTTTATTGATCTCAAACACCGTTGGCCTTGAGTCAATTCTCACTCGTTATCTGTTTATAAAACATTCATAATATATTTTTTCTTCTAATTTATTGAAATAGTATCATGTTTTCAATTTACCAGAAACCGGTGTTATATTAACCTAACATTACTTTCGGCATTACTGCGCATTCGCGTTAACATACCTCTAACCCTAAACGTGAACCAATAATTATTTCTACACGCATAGAAGATGATTTTACATACGAACTTTTCACTTTTCGCACAAATATGAACACGCAAATTTACCTTGTCAGCCACACTCGTATCAAATTCTTATTTCGTATTCATGATTATTAAATCGATTATTTATGGGATATATAAAAGGCTCTCATTGAAGTCTCTGTCACGACTCAGAGACGGAGACATTATGTGATATATCTCCAGGACCTAAGTGCCTGGCTTTCCATACGCACGAATATGAACATGAACGAATCTTCCTTGTCAGCCGCAATCGTATCGAATTTCTATTTTGCCTTCATTTAATAATCTGATTATTATATCGATTGCCGGTATTATATGGAAAAATAAAAAGGTCTCCCCGAGGCCTTAAACACTCGCAAACGTAAATTATGATTATTTCCGAAATGTAGTTGTTCTTTTAGTTCTGTTATACTATACGTTTGTATCTTTTGAAATTATAATTTTGGCACAAGTAAATTATATATATATATATATATATATACATATACATTATATCACTGCGTGCGTGCGTTCTTCGTCGCGTTGCTGTCGCGTCGCCGTCGCACGCAGTTAGTAACCGGCTTTAGATTCAAGATTCCATTTATTGTCATATACAAGCAAAGTGAATGTAAAAATATACAATATATACTTTACAGTCTAAAGTGTAAAAGAGTTAAAATATAAAAGACCAAATAAAAGATATGACTATCTGGTAAATACTTTGTTAAATAAATGGCAGGCACAAGTTTTCTAGGTCGCAATTTGGCAAAATCTTTGTTGTGAAGAAAAAGTAGAAGCTTTCGAGGAATATGTGAGTGTAAAAAAAGTTGACCGAACTGGGATTCAAACCCGGAACCTTTTTCGGTCTACGCAGACGCCTCAACAAACTTGGCAATTGGAGCTTTGTTGGGAATCCGAATCCGATTAAAGCAACTAATCCTTAACAATCCTGCGCGTCCTCAAAAATTATATGTTATATAAATACATATATCTTAAGAATAGCACAATAATTTTCAACCGCAATACCATATAGGCAAGGCCTAATGAATTTTATTATAAAACTCGGTACAAAACAGACATGTTTCGCCAAATCCTTCAGTGTAACGATTGCTAACTTGCATATATGTATATAGGGATACAAGAAGTTCAAAAAGTATCAAATAACCAAGCCATCGTTGAGAATAGGTCAAAAACCTGGCGGATGTTAAAATAGAAAGACAGTAAATCCACATTTTTTTTTCTTTCTGCTAACAAGTTTTATTGAGAAGCTTAGTAGAGGGAGATTTATTCTTGCAAAAATAAGCCGTGGTAAAATTTTTAATTTTGGATTGATGGAGGATGACTTTTCTGGGCCTCATGGATCTTAGCTTAGCTCAGTTAAAAGAGCAGCTAGCTCAGTCCACTACACTAGTGGTAGACACTGTGTGCGCGCTAAACCGTGGAGATTTCTTTGTTTCCGGTTTATCCATCGCTGCCCCCTCCATGTGTTTTTTCAGTTTCAGGCTGAAGTTTCAATACCGGAACGTCTTTCGTTGGTCCAGTGTGCAACATGAGCCACATGCACGTTGAAGAGCACAGTACGCCCGTCGGGAGTAGGTGATTCTGCCGGTGTACTGCCCAATCACCACCTCAGAAAACCACTGGTGTTTTCTTAGGTGTTTACACTAAATAAATCCAATTCAATCAAACTCTTCATCGCAGATATTATAGTCCTTGATTCCATTGGAAAATGTTAATACATCATTAGGTATAATACTATGTTAATCACAATATGAATTCCCATTTTACCCTAAAATTGAGACGAAACCACTATTGTAGACCAAATTATTGAGAGCATGACAAAACTGCATCAACGCTAAATTATATGTCTGCAAACGGATGAAAGTCAGACGAACATGAATTATAATGTAAAATCATTATTTAAAGAACAGTAAAATTTATAAAATGAATCCAAGAATAATGACACGGCAGTAATTTGGAGTATCCAAAAATCAAACAGGATTTTACAGACTGATAGGCCAATAGTTACAGTGTTAATGGTCACGCTACCTGAATATAGATGTAGGCTACTGATCAATACGAATAAAATACATAAAGCCCACAGCTTCAAGAATGAGAAGTCATATCGCATAATATCCAGCTACGAAATGAAATTTACATATGTGATTAAGCCCCTTTTTCTCCAGTTCCATGATGACTCTCAAAATCAGTTTTACAACATACTGTATAGGCCTAATTATTTTCCCTTCAGAGCCTGCCTCTAAATCTACCGGTCGATAGTTGTTATCGGTCAGGCTTCCCGATAGTACTGTTGTTCTGAGGCTTACATGTAGCACAAAGCACGCATATCCCTTAATTCAAAAATATTTTTTTTTTTTACTTACATAGTGTCCACGTTGTGTATTTGAGAGAATGACTTACTGGATTAATTCACATTACCACAGATATCGTTACTGCATTCAGTCACACGTGTATACGAAACACGACTCATATATTCATGGAAGAAAGACGTGTGGTAATTAGACAAAATTCACTCGGTGGCTCGTTCATTAGCAGACGATAACCAAACGCTGAAATACCAATTAAACAACGTTAATAGTGAACACCAAATGTGGGAACTCATTATTATAGACAGTGTTAATCTATTAAGTTACCGATTGTGAAATGAAATGATTTTCGTATGAGCA